ATGACAGGAAGGGATCTTTAATCTTGATAGATTAAAGATTCCCAATTAATTGATTGCTCATTTGGTGAATGAAATATCAGAAAACATGAATCCAAAAGTTGAACCTTCACACACACAACACAGCAAGGACTCACCTGCACAGGAAGGCCAGCTACTTCAGCATAAGCCAGTGCCTGCGGTACAGTTGTCAGCCCAACGGTGAGGCCTGCGAGCAGGTCCATCTGAAGCCACTTCAGCTTGTAACTGGGTAACCAGGAGAGGATGGGCAGCCAGGCCTTCAGGGTGCTATAGGAGCAGCAGCGCCGGGCTGAACCTCGTCCCAGCAGAGGCCGGTCCATCGCACAAGAATTAGAGGTGAGGACGGAGAACTTGGAGAGTAGGATGACGGCGGAAAGGATGAAGAGACAGCAGCAAGTGCACAAAGATAAAATTACGTTTTACATATTCAAACGTGTGAATGAGTGGGCTGATTACAGAATAAAAGCCACATACACAAAGCGATCAAGTTTCCTCCTCATCGGCTTTACTTTGCCTCCTGAGAGTCGTCTTCCCCAACAGCCCAGTATTCAGGGAAACACAGGAAAGGTGTGCTCTGTGTGCATGTTTGTCTGGACAAATACACAGCACATCAGAGAAAGTGGGCGCCATATCTTCAGATGCATGCTGTGATCTGTGAAAAAAAAACAAAAAAACATCATCAGTCATCTAACTTGCAAGCTGACATGTCACATTAACTATAACCTCCACTTACTACACATGTTTACAAGTGTGTTTAGTATATTAAATAATGCCAACTGAGGCCAGATATTTTATGTTTTTTTTTGTGACCCTTCATTTAACCAGCTTTATAATCATGAGGATCACAAGCATACCTGTCTGATATCAGTGATGTGTTTACAGCTAGAACTTGTTTCTCCACAATCACCTGGCAGCTGTAAAGTTCCCTGACAAACAAACATCCCCACAGATATTCCTCAGTGCTACGTGAGCTACCAGCAGCCTCATCTTACAGTGATATATTATTAATCTCAAATTGGGTCCTATCATGTGTCTGTGTTACGAGGCTTTTATATTCTTCTAAAACTGATTGATGTTGCATTGACTAAGTGGAGAAATAATCGAATTAATCAAAGCTGTGAGACTGGAACAAACACAATAGAATAAATTAAGACAGAATAGAACAAAACAAAAAAAACACATCAGAAGAGAAAAGAAATCTTACCGATACAAATGTCTCCGTCTTTAACACTGTTCCCTGGTTCGGCTGTGATTTCCAGATAATTTTCTGTCACAGCACTCTTCCTTTGCTAAAACCACTTCCTAAAATTTATGTCATTTTGCGGATGAAGCGCGAGACGTTGTTCTATCGTCACGTGACCCCTGTCATGTGAGCACATGTGGGCGGGGCTTAAGATGTTTGAGGAAGACCCTCATGGATCTGGTACATAGGTCTACAAGTAACTTTATGCACTTATCTTTCATTTTGACGGCTGAATGTATTTTATTTAGTGAATGTAAGTGTTTTGACTCACGTGAAATGTTTCAGAGCCAAACCAACACAGGTGTTTTGAGACTTAGCAGGCGTTGGAGTAACAGGGAAGAGAACTAACTGACCACCATCATGGGGCTCGAGTTGTTTATTCTCTTTTTGGCATCATGTTGCATCGGGCAATCAAAGACAAGAAATGTCCTTTTAATTATTGGTAAGTGAACTTGAAGTGGTAAGTCGTTCCACTTTTAAAGACTTCAAATGTCTCTTGAACTCTGGAAGAATTAAATTGCTAACATACACACTGTCAGTTTATCAGGCACCCGCTAAAATTAATGGGTTCTAATAGAGGAGATTTGCATTAAATCCTATTGCATTATACAGAGACGTGTTTCTGTTAGTAAGCCTACCCTCACTGGTCGTACAAAGTAACAAAAACACACACAGCACCACATCCTCCTAAATGACCATAAAGTTGACTCAGAACATTGGCACTAAAACATAACCTTTATGACGGCCTGTTGTATTATTAGACTGTTTTAGCAACCTAATAAACTAGTAACTGAGTGCAAGTCTTCTATCATGGTATATGCTGAATTTTATATCACAGTATGGATATAGATAAAGTACATTTCATGGACTTTCACTTGAGATTTATAGATGAATTAACCAGATGTTAATTGTGTAGTTTGGCAATTTAAACAGCTGACAGGAAACAGGTGTAAAGCCTGACATGAATATTTACTTTTCCAAAGGAAGTTAAACTCGGGAGTACTTTCAATACACTTTAAATATAAAAACCATTCCTTTGAAAATTGAACTAATTTGGGGGGGGGGGGGTACACATTAAAAAGCTCTACTAGGTCTTATGGCATGTTTTGGTTTAGACAATGCTCATTTAATTGAACTGTAACCATGCAATAATAGAGGCTCACTAATGCTCTTGTGTCTGAATTCAGCCAGGTTCCAAAATCTTTTCCACAAACTTTTGGCGTGGTGTAAGTGCTAAGAAACGGGTCTTTTCCCTCTTCCAGCTGATGATGCAGGTTTTGAGACGGAGGTGTATAACAACTCTGTGGTCCACACACCCCACCTGCGCTCTCTGGCCCAGCGTAGCCTGGTGTTCAGCAACGCCTTCACCTCTGTCAGCAGTTGCTCCCCCAGCCGCTCCACCATCCTCACCGGCCTGCCGCAGGTAAAACAAAAATAGAACACCACACACCGACGCCTTTCATTTGTGCATGAAGGCAAGTATTTAGGTCTGTTTGATCTGTGTTTTCAGCACCAGAACGGCATGTATGGGCTTCATCAGGGTGTTCATCACTTTAACTCGTTTGACGGAGTACAAAGTCTGTCGCTGCTCCTCAGCCAAGCCAACGTACACACAGGTAAATAACAAAGACACCAGTTTATATAATAAAGTCTACTCTTGCTTTTCATCACTATTTCTCTCATTTTCTCAGGTATAATTGGGAAGAAGCATGTCGGCCCTGGATCTGTATACCCTTTTGATTTTGCCTACACAGAGGAGAACAGCTCTGTCCTTCAGGTGGGGAGGAACATCACACGCATAAAACTCCTGGTCCGCAAGTTTTTCCAGACCCATAAAGAGGAAGCCTTTGAACGAAGGCGAAAGAAGGAAGACATTAAAGTCAATATAAAAGATGAAGGCAGGCCATTTTTCCTTTATGTTGCCTTTCACGACACCCACCGATGTGGACACTCGCAGCCCCAGTATGGAGCCTTCTGCGAGAAGTTTGGGAATGGTGAAATGGGGATGGGTAGGATACCTGACTGGACACCAGAATATTACACACCAGAACAAGTGAAGGTCAGTGAAAAAAAGATTTTGTTTTCAAATGTGGATAACAAGAATTATCATCTGTACAACATATTAGTTAATCTGGTCCGTCCTCATCTATTGTACTTCAGGTTCCTCCTTTTGTGCCGGATACACCCGCAGCACGGGCCGACTTGGCTGCACAGTACACCACAGTTAGCAGGCTGGATCAAGGTATGTAACAACACAGATGCACAAAATAAAATATTGTAAAACACTAACTATAATAGTGTAAATTTCCTCTGCAGGCATCGGTTTGGTTCTTCAGGAGCTAAGGGACGCTGGTTATGAGAACGACACTCTGGTCATCTACAGCTCAGATAATGGCATCCCCTTCCCGAACGGCAGAACCAACCTGTATCGCTCCGGGACTGCAGAGCCCATGCTGTTGTCCTCTCCAGAGCACAGGGAGCGATGGGGAGACACCAGCCAGGCCTACGTTAGCCTGCTGGGTAAGAGATCGATACCTGAAAGAGGTTGGGAAGTTGGGAAACTCACAAAAATATATACCATAAAGTCCTGCAGCCACTCGCTGTGACCACATAGCAGGTTTAGTTCCAAGTTTGTGATCACACCAGTTTACACCTTAACCCTTCTTGGCTTGTGGCTCTTTAAAATGAAGCAATATCTACTTCTGTCTGATCACTCATTGAATGTTATTGACTTAGTCAGTAATGAGAGAAAAAAAAGAACAGTCAGAAACAAACATAGTTTTGTGTAATATAAATGTTATCTTTCCTTTAATCATCTTGTAACTGCTCAGATTTATTTTGGGACCCCTTTGTGGCTCCCGACCCCCCAGTTTGGGAACTGCAGGCTCAAACAAATTAAAGCTAGGGTAGGGTTATGTATTCCAGAAGCATTTTTTGTTACATGCCGATAGCAATCGAAAAATCAAATACTCCGGCGGGAATAAATTTGGTATGTGTGGCTTTGGCAGGCCTGTGATAAGAACAGACAATTGTCTCATTCAGCCCAGATAACATGTGGGAGTGGCTTTGGAGGGAGGCCTGAAAGGAGGGGGAGAGATTTTTTTCACTGGGAAAACCTTCAGAGTCTCTTGCTAAATTCTCCAACGTCACCTACCCCAGCTTTAACAAACAAGTAAGTCAGTATGTGTGTCTGATGTGCTTGATCAGCCACAAGAGGGAGACTTAACAATGATGCATCAGCAGCAGAACAGTTCGTTTGCAGAAGATCATTTCAGCACATTAAATAAACTGTAACCATGGCAGGCATTTTAAGTATATAACCAGCAGGTGTAATGAACATTAAGGATGTGAGACATTAACTTATTATTCGCTGTCCTATCAAAAGCATGTATCTCCCTAAGGTCAACTTTTCATGAGCTGTGACAGACAGTTTGTAGAGTTGAGACTGTGTTTTAAATTCATTTATCTTAAAAAATGTGACAAATTTCTCCTGATCCTTAAATTCATATGAAAAATTTGAAAGGAATGTGGTTTTCATTGGACAGTGATGTGTATTTATAAAGATGTCCCTCTGTTTACAGTATAACATAAGACACACTGTACTATTATTATTTCTATATAAATATGAACAAATGTAAGGTATTACCTCAGATGAGCTACTACATTGTTTTTTTTCCTGCCTTTTCTCTTCTTCTCTCTCTCTATTTATGGCAGACATTACTCCCACCATTCTGGACTGGTTCTCTGTTCCCTACCCGTCCTACAGCCTCCCTGGCAGCCCTGCCAACCCGGTCCACCTCACCGGGCGCTCTTTACTTCCTGCTCTGGTCACTGAACCTACTGACTGGCGAACCGTCTATGCCAGCCAGTCTCTCCACGAGGTATGCGAGCACCCGTCGCTTTCAGACAGGACGTCACCCCACTGTCTGTCAGAAATAGCCTTTCATGAAGGAATCAAACACAAGGCCTTGACTTCTCTCCTGTCATTTTTGATTTCAGGTAACCATGTACTACCCAACCCGCTCCGTCCACCAGGGGGCGTACCACCTTCTCCACAACCTACACTACCGCATGCCCTTCCCCATCGACCAGGACCTGTATGTGTCACCCACCTTCCAGGACCTGCTGAACCGCAGCCGGCAGAGTGAGCCCACGCACTGGTTCAAAAGCCTGCAGCAGTATTACTACAGAGAACGCTGGGAGCTGTTCGACTCCAGGTCTGTTACCGCTGCTCTTCTTCCAGGGTTCATCATGTGTTCATCATGTTTCAGTGTTCACTGTGATGATTCACAGATAAATATCAGTCAGTTTGGTAAGTGAGGATGTTTGGTAAGTGAGTTTGGAGATCAAAGTCCCTAAGCAGAGTAATACTTGACCTTGATTGGTGGATGAACTTCCTCTGATTTAAATGAGGTACACCTGCCACCGTTCATATTTTAGTAATTTAGTGAAAGGGAAATGGTCAGAAACTGCCACCATAAAGGAGACAAAATGTACTAAAACAAAATCTGATTTTATAGGAAACAGGCGCTCCTCTCCTGCTTAAATTTCAGCTGTGTGCTGTGCTTAAGAAAAACACTCCAATGTCAGTTTCCCCCACCCAAAAAAGGCAGCACTCCAGCAAAAACTTCACCTTCTGTGTGGATTTTATTTGCAGTCAATGTTAAATATTAAATATCGGGGGAATATTTCATTGTCAATATATAAAGTTATTGTCAGTTTAACATCTTTAATAAGTATATATGCCGAAACACTGATATATTTTAATTGAAAGAATAACACGCTCTGAAAATCTTGTCTTGGCTGACCTGCAGTGGTTTAACTCGCTCACTCACCTTGCTGCAGGTGAGGTACAGGTGTACTCCAGGACCCTGTGAAGTAATTGTTGGGTGTAGTTACAGGATAAACAGAGCACACCAGGGCTGCGTTTAGCCCTAACAAAAGGTAGCAGGACGTTTATTTAAATGAAACTGTGCTGCCTTGAACGCCCTGTTGTGTACACAAGTGGTCTTCCTTTTTAATAGCAGTATTTATATACACATCACTGCAGACTGGGTAACACCGGACACACCCACCAAACAACAGTGGCAGTGGTGGGCCAAAGGTTATAGAATTGAGCTTGTGACTGGGAGGTTGCCGGTTCAATCCCCAGACCAGCAGGATATAATCTGGGTATGGAAAGTAAACCAAGCATTTACCACCACTGAGGCCCTGCTTAGTATGAATGTGATCAGGGCCTTCCTGCAAAAGGAGAGGCTTCCTCTCAGTGAAGCTCCCCTGAATAAACCTCATTCAACCTGGAAAGATTTTAGATTGGTGAAACAGGCAAAAACATTGCATTTGAGCCTGGTTCTCAAAGGTAGTCTATCACTATTTAAACTACCTTTGTCGACTACCAGTTTATCTGTCAATTATTTATTTACTGTTGTTTTGAAGCACTATATAAAGTGGAAGCTATATCAATGGAAGAAGCTGCTGGTAATGAGTTATAGGGTTTTTATAATAAGTTTCTACTTGAAAACCAAAAAGATGCAAAATCTCATGCAGCTGGAGGTGCACCTCTTTGCTGGGACTTTGAAATTAGTAGTCAGTAGAAAGAGTCCCTGTAGACAGTCACCTGGTTGGGTCCACCACATCTGGAGACACATGTCGTGCTGGATTTCTTCTCCCATGCCCCCCCCGGATGTCTCTCGAACTGTGAACGGACTCTGCACAGAGGCGCTAAAGTAAGAATTGGATGCTTGCTTTTAGTGCTGAACCGATCGGTTGATTCACAGAAAATGAATTGCGTGTACTTTTGATAGTTTGTCAGTCATTATTCACCAAATATTCTCTGGATCCAGCTCCTCAAATATGAGGATTTGCCCCTTTTGTCACTGTAACTCATAAATCCCTCAGTGCCAAAACGAGTTAGGTCTTTGTAAAGAGCAGTCAGGGATGCTTGCTTGCACTTCTGCGCTTTTTTCTTTTTATTTCTCTTGTTGTTTTGGGACTGAAATACTAACAAAAAAAAGAGGCAGCTTGGGCAAGTCACTGAACCCCAGTTTGCTCTTGATGGTTGGCCAGCACAGAGCGTGGTAGCTTGCTGCCATCAGTGTGTGAGTGTGTGTGTGAATGACCTTGTAAAGGGCTCTGGGTAAAAGTGCTTTATACTGTAAAGTAGCTTTGAAAAGAAGAAGAAATTTTTCTTTTGAATTTAACGTGCTTTTAATACACCGTCATTCATTTGGTTAATTCAGTTGGCAGATTTCTTTAGAATTAATGTTTTAAGGCTTGTCTGGGATTTTCTGTAGCTACCACTGAGGAGACAAGGTCATCTCCTCTGTGTTTTCTTCTGCTGTCTACTTTTAGGCCAATAAAATATTTCTTCACCATACTGTTATTCCTGGCAGCATGGCAAGAATTTTGAAACAGCATTTAGATCTTCATGTTGGGAATTAAAACCGTAAAGCTTTATTATACCATCAATAGTTCTAATAATTTTTTAGAAAACAAGACATATCTAATTTGATGCTAATTACAGGGAAAATGAAGACATGGTGAAGATGTCTCTTGAAAGAACTGCTCTATTTGAATAAAACTATATTCAACAAAATTAAATTTGAACAGCTATCTGAGTAAATAAGACATGTCAAATCCAAGACTTTGTTTTTGGTTGTAGGGTTTCAGAGGACGGGAGGTGTTTATCATTTCAACAGTTATTTAGTATTTCTAAAGTCGTGGCTTTGACCCTGAATCTGTTGATGATGCTGTTTAAATTTGTATAAATGCTTCATCAACACAGAGCAGACCCACTTGAAACGAGGAACCTGGTAGCAGACCCGTCCTACAGCGCAGTGCTGGAAAATCTGAGGCAGAGTCTGCAGAAGTGGCAGTGGGAGACGGGGGACCCCTGGGTCTGTGGACCTGACTATGTCCTGGAGGACAAATTACAACCACACTGCAGACCACTCTACAATGGACTCTGATGGTACTTAAACTCATCTTGATTGACATGATATCCCCATACATGAAAACATTCTTCTTATAAACTAAATTGCATTTATTTGTATTTTTATTTTTGTATGTCAGTGCTGATTTAATGCTCAAAAATAAACAAAACTTGAGTGACATTAATTCCTAACATTGTTTCTTGTATAGTATCTTTCTTCATGGTGCAAGATAATTTCATCATTCCAGCTAGTGGTCCTTCTTATCGGTTTCTATACATTTAAAAAGGTACATTTTCCCCATCATCCAGACCTGTATAACCCTGTTTCATAGAAAGGCAACATGATTACCTACTATTTAACTGAACAAATGTAGATGCATATGACTTTGTTTTAGTCTCCACTGTTGTTTTCCTACTGATAAGCTGATTACACAGGTGGAGGAGTTCATGAGGCATGACCGGTGAGGCCAACAAATCAATTAGGAAAAGGGTTTTATTGATTCCTCAGAGCTTCATATAGAAAACTGTTCTATGGAACAGTAGGAACAATTTGGATCAGTGGATTATTCAATCCTGGTATTGATTTTATTTATTTTTTTACTCTTAATGTGTCCATTTTCAATGAAGTTGAACTGTTTTGAAGCCATGCACACCGATTCAGCTTTGTTGCACACCTTTGTTTTCACTATAACCTCCTCATTAACTTAATGGGACATCTTTGAGTTTTGACCACTTATATCAGTGTCTCTCCTGTTCCACTGATGTTAATCCATTTCACTTTTACCTCTGCAAGCGTCAGAAGGGCTGACGTCCCTATACATCTCCAACCCCCTCATAGTCCATACCCAACACACACCAGATCATCATCCGCCCACCTCAATTTTGATTTGATGAACGTCCTGGGTCACGATAACGTCGTCGTGTCAGCCTATATAAGCAGCAGAAAGTTTTCCAAACACCCAGCAAAATCTAAAGTCGGACTCTGACCAAGAACAGAAAAGAAAAGCGCCGTTTTCCTCTGCGTAAAAGGTGCCAAGACATGGAGAGGTCAGTTAGGTTTGCCGTGGTGTGCGCCGCAGTGTCTCTGCTCATCTCCTGCCATCCAGTCGAAGCTTGGTACAAGCAGTCGACCGGGCCCAGTTACTACTCGGTGGGTCGTGCCTCCGGTTTGCTTTCCGGTATCAGGAGGTCACCGTACGTCCGGAGGTCCGAGTCCGAAGAGACGCTGATGGACAGCGGGGAGACAGCAGGTAACAACGTGATTCCAGAGACTAACAGGCAGATCTCCATCCTCAAAAACATGGTAAGTAGCCTACAGACTTTATTCCTGTTTGTATAATAAAATGAAGATGATAGCTTTCCCTTCAGCATCATTAAGAGCCACATTTAGACTTTAGCGACACAAATATTGAAGTTAGAAATATTAAGTAAACAATCCCTAGTCAGATTAGATTGTACTTTTGATTTTTACATCATAAAGACGACGAAACAAATAGCTGAGATATAAATTGTCGAAAAAGTTCAATAACTGGTGCGTAAAGGCGCACACCGGCGGATCAAAGCGCAGCGAGCAGCACTGAAGCAAGACATTTTCTGAATTTTAAATCCCCTCCCGACAACACCAGAATAAGGGCAAGAAGAAAAAGTAATATGGGGTTTGTTGAATAAGCGACGGTTCCACTTTTTTATTGCGGCAATAATCTGGATATTCGTTTTAGAGATAAATTAAAAGCATATAAGGTCAATTAGGGGATACTTTTAAGATAAATGAAAGCGGAAGAAAAGCTCAACAGAATCACTAAAAGAATTTTGCGGGTTTTCGTTTGTTTCACTTGTTTCACTTTAATTCTCTCACCACTTATTTTCCACTCCTGCAGGCCATCTGCGTGAAGGACATCTCTCCAAACCTAAAGAGCTGCGAGCTGCTGCGGGACGGGACGGGTACCTTCCAGTGCAAGGCGGACGTCTTCCTCACCTTGGACTCCCTGGACTGCCTGTCCGCGTGAGTCCCGGTCGGACCTGCGGAAACAGTCCTGATCCCCCACCAAGCCCCGGGAGCGCTTCTCTGGAAACGAAAAAGTGAAGGAAACGAATGAGGGAAAACCCGATCTATTGTCGGCGATGGACCGCTGCAGACTCTAAATGTTCTCTTATTGGAAAAAAAAAAACAAAAAACCAACACACAAACATTGTTCAGTTTTGCTTTGGTTGCTTAGACAGAAATATAAAAGAAAAAAATAAAGACAAATAAATCGGTGAGAAAGATGTTAGTTGAAACCATTTTCTTTCCAGATGACCTCCCATTTTTACTGGTTAACACCTGACATGTACCCGCCGTTGACAAAATTTATTAATGTCCAGAAAGTTGACTGCAGAGCAGATTTCCTGTAAAGTACTTTTATTTAGCCTATTTTATCTATTAAAACGAACAAACACTGGAAACCTGTTGTGTGGTTTAAATGAGTCTTTAAATATTGAACTAGTGGTGGAGGACAAGGGAAAAGTAAGTGATTCAGCACTGCCTTGATTTGTGACTTATCCATTTACATGGTCTTTAAAGAAAACTGAAATATGATATCAAAATAAAGATGTCAACCTATCACATTTATTTTGTATTGTAGTTTCAGTACAAACCATAAAATAACAGTCCGAGTACATGGTGTATAAGACTTAAAGAGTAGAGATACAGAATGAAATACCAATAATTATTCTGACAGTGGAAAAGAGGGAGAAGGAAAAACACATTTGAAGCATTTAAATTACATGACATCAAACCCACTTCTTCATAAGGCACTTGGGGGTGTTTTTTCAATTTTCTTCCACCTTCAGTAACCATATCAGAGCGTATCAGTCATTACCATATCTTGTTTATTAGAGAGGAGCTGGTGTGATAGTCAGTTGCTCAGGGGGAGACTTCAGCTTAGTCAGACCCCAGCAGAATTAATGCCACACAAATCACATATAGAGCGGCATCATCCTGTTGACAAATCAGGGTTTGTGAGCGTGTGTGTCTCATATTGGAACAATAATCATCGGGGTGATGTTGGAAGCTTCAGGGATGTTTCTTTACATACACTTTTCTCATACCTAGTAGGCTATTAAACACCCGCATCATCGCTGACTGGTAAGAGTCACGGGAACGAGTGAAGGCACAGATTAAAATGAACCGAGTGTGTGTGAGCACAATCTGGGGTGCATTTACGGAGATCACCGCCTCATTAAGAGGGTGTGACGCACAGGATGTGGACAGCAGAGACACTGTGATGGATGAGCGGAAAGCACACGATGGTATGCATGAGTGAACCCTGCGCCGAGCAAGTAACGGACAAACAGTAAATCCCCCCCCCCGTGTTCTGCCCCCCCACACACAGGAAGAGATGGGCAAATAAATGGCAAGTGTATATATCAAGTCCTCAACAAAGTAACATCACCATTCACAGTCTGATCATATAGTAGGCCACAGTGCAAAAATATAAATGCCCATTACTCTAGACATAGGTTTAAGTCAACATTGTAGGGCTCAACCCCACGACAAAGGATTAGCCAAGTGTTCCTTCTCCTTCAAGGTTTTTTTTAAACAGTTTTTCAAAGCTACATGAACTCAAGCATCACAGAGGATGAAATGCAACAGTGGCAAAGAGCGTCAGAGACAATAGCTTGAAGGAGATGATCTTCATGTTCATATTTGAGTATTTAAAAATGAGACATCCAAAAGGTCGACAGCAGTGACTGCCCGCTGGCAGTTACAGGAGCGAAACGGCCTCCAGGTTCTCTTTGATTATCGTGTCCATTACCACCTGGAAGACGACCTGGATGTTAGAGGTGTCAGTCGCCGTGGTGAAGTGGTGGTAGATGAGTTTGCTGGGCGTGGCGTTGAGCGAGACAAAGGTGGCAGCGATGAAGCGTGCGGCTGAGTCCACATCGCAATCTGCACCTGGAGGAGAGATATGGGGTGGGGGAGGATCAGATTTTACAGTGAAACATCTGGCTTCTTTCCACAGAAAGAATCCCAACTAGGGATCTTTGCACACCAGGCGGTATGTAGAAAGATTGTGAAGTTGCTCAGCTAATTTGAAATAAATAAATGAAATTACGATTTAAATATTTGTCAAGGAGGAAAATAAACACACAAATTGCATTATAAATCTTTGTGAGGCTGACTTCCCACATTTCTTTTCACAATAACCCATACACTAGCAACTATGCGATTGAGACTTCATGAACTAGTTACTAAGTATTTGTTATGCAGTAAAATGTCCCCTCAGACTAATTTGACATGATTACATTGTTAATACTGATGCATCAGTGTGTAAGTATCAATGTACTCTTGTAGGTGCTTAAGGTGGAGCAAGTTTTAACTACTACAGTTAGCTAGTCCAGTGGTTCCCAACCTAGGGGGTCAGGCCCCTCCAAAAGGGTCATCACATAAATCTGGAGGGTCATGAGGTGCTTCATGGGGCAGGAATATTTTAAAAAAGCTAGTTCTGCTGCACACATCTGTTGTATTTTTCTGACTTTTTCTCTAGTCTTTGTCTTCTTTGTTTATTCTGAAATATTGGATCATTTCAACAGTTATTTAAATGAAACCATGTGAGAAGTTTAGAGGGTAAATGTCTCTTTGTTAGAAATGCTAACAACTCTTAGACATCTGGCACATGACAATAGGCCCCAACTAGATGCAGGGAGCGTGAGTAAATCTAAGCAAGTAGATAAGTCGAGATATTCGTAATGGATAAATGGTGCAAAACGTCCACCGTTTGCCACTCTAAGTGGTAGTAATCATAAAACACAGGGACAATTTTAGGACTGTCTTGTATTTAAAAATTGTAATGCATGCAAAGAGATTTACAATTGTCAAATATATCAGAGATTGCACGCCTCTGGAGTAGCCAGGGGTTAAGTGTCTTGCTCAGGGAAACATTGGTGGAAGTGTCACAGACACTGCGCCATCGCCACAATGTGCACTTTTATATAATTAATAATGTTATAACATCTATAGAAATGATTTCAAATGAACACATTAGGAACATCCGCGACCCTAATAAGCGGTTGATGATAAATGAATGGATGGATGGACATTAGGAACATGACAGGTTGATGTTGGTAACGGGCTACATGAGCTCATATGATAGGGCTGTGGGGGTACATCAAACAAAACAAAAAAAGGTTGGGAGCCTCTGTCATCATATCTGAGGTCAGTGTGGAACTGACTCTTGCTCTGCTAGCAGACCCCAATCCCAGGAGTTTTAGCATTTATATTGACATTTGCATGAGAGCAGAGAGGACCCAGCCCCTGTTGAGCCCACTGAGATCATTGTGTGTCCCCACCTGTGTGGGAGACTGAGAGCTTATTATCAGTCTGTATTTATATTTTAAAGCCCCTAAACTGAGCAAATTGGTCCTTTCTTTTGTTTAGTCTTTGTTTAGATTTTTGTAATTTTTCAAAACAGTATAATATGATGCTCAGCACAAATTGTTCCTTATGGAAAGTGGGTCTCTTGATGTTTGGTACACATCACATGTGAAGCAGAGTTAAACTAAAAGTCAAAGGTCTCTGTGTGCACAGTTATGTTCAGGCACATTAACACGAACTTTAGAAGCAGGCAGGTTTAATGGTGGAGAGGAAAGGAGAAGTCAATATGAAGTCTATTTCATGTTTCATCATTCAGTATGTGATGATTTGATACACCTTTCGTTAAAATATCCTTTTCTGAGTTCTTCAAGATCGATGATTATGAGGAACATGAGCGGTGTTTTAAGAAGGGAACCTTTTTTGTGGCAGTAAGACAGTATATTTGTCTGCAATATACACTCCCTGGCTGCTTTATTAGTTACATTTACACAATTTAATGGAAACTAATACAGATCTGCCACTAATTCACCATTTAGGAACATTATAATATTAATTTTTACTTATAAATTTATTTTTTAATATTAATTCAACTATATGTTTATTACTGAGGTTGTCAGTGGTCTGGCATTATACCGAAATGTGTTTATAATATCCTTTATATATTCTTTTGTATTGGATTGCACTGGATTTTACTTAAGTAATAAAAGTGGCCACTGAGTGCAATTGTACGTAAGAAGTTATGTTCATGTGACATTTTTTTGGCCACTGCAGGAGTATTTTTGGTGTCCATGTGGACTGGACTACATGGCCTAATACAGTTGTATGTGCAGGACACAATAAATGACACAGCTAACAAACATGAGTCCTACCTTTATATTGGGGCAGGTATAGCCGCAGATGTCGCCCCGAGTGTAAAATCTTGTCTTGAAAAAGGTCTATCTTGTTCATGAATAAAATCTGCAATAAATCAAACACAAAAAACAATCAGCTGAGAGCAGGAGAAGCTCATCCCAAGTCAAAGGCCTCTCTCCAGTGGAAAAGGAAAATCAATCAGAAAGTCAAATCACAAGAAAAAGAACAATGTTGATTAGATTTGGTGACTCCCGTCTGTGGCACTGCAATAACTAACAGACAATGAAACCAATAAATCAGTTTCAAATATTATAGTGACATTTATTGTCACTTTGCAGATATTTACCTAAAATGTGAAAATCAATAGCTGTGTTGATACCAGTGCTGGATAATGATGGCAGATCAATGACCTTGCATCACTCATTAGTGTGCAACAGTGGCGTACTCAGACTGTTTGAGGGGCAAGGGGGGAAAGAAAAAGGGCACCAGCTGTATTTGGTGGGGCCAAAACACACGGAAAAGATTAATAAAACAAAAATCACAACAGGGGCATTTTTAAAAATGAGGGCACATGGTCTTGCATGTGTGTGGAGGTCATGTTTTAACCCTCATAGGGGCATCCAAGAGGGCACTTTTGCGGCGTTCGAACACACGAATTTCCTGCCATCAGACTGTTTGAGGGGCAAGACTGTTTATGGGCTGCTTTTCTGCCTCTAAACTCAACTTCTGCTCTGCTGCCACCATGTTTCACAGGTACTTTTGGCTTTGTAGTCAACCAATTAAAACTATGACCAAGTTCTCTCTTTTCTGGCACATTTGATCGCAAAAGCAAACACACGCACACACAAAAAAAGCCTCTGATAAATAATGAGGGAGGGATGAGGTAGAGCAGATTTTCAATGAACGAGATACAGAGCAGTACCTAGGTGTGTAATTATCACTGACCAGCCACAGTGAAGAGTTAATTGAGGTGGAGGTTACACATTTCCCTCCCACGTTAAAAAAGGTATCATTAAACACTTTTGTTTAATGAGCCTGGTAGCCATGTTAATGTGCAGGCCCACACACAACCCTGCACATAAACACGTCACACACAGACATTTTATTGCTCATTTGGGGCTAATGAAGCCTTTAATAACATTTCTTTATGGTTAAAAAAAAAAGAATAATTTACTAATACTTTCTTATTAAGATCTTTGAAATTCTCTGTGTCTGTGGCGATATTTTTAATGAACAAACACCAACTGCAAATTACTTCTTTTCTTTTGATACAGCCTTTTCAGAAACGTTACGAACAGTGTTCACAGTGAAAGGCGTCTGAAAGAGAGTTAACAGCAGTTGATGCTCGCGTCAACATGTAGTGACTTGTATTTTAAGTGGGTTCTAAATGAGAGTTAAGTAGAATAAAATTAAAAAGCTTGTTACGGTCTTGATTTAATGTGATCATTTACCGGTAACGGGAGTGGAAAAATACAGAGAGGGGAAAATGTCACCTCGCCAAAGCTCACCCTAATTACAACTTCCATTTAATTATGAGTGACAGGACGCCGAGACAAAGGGCTAAGGATGTGCCCTGTGTGTGCGGAAAAAAATTATCAAACACATCAGTATTATTCTTGTCTATGGGGTTATAGGGAACACAGAGCTACAGAGACATTTTGCATTTGTCTCCTCCACTCATCTATGGGCTCCGTCCACCAACTGATCTGTTAAACTGAACAGCGTTTCCCCTACCACCTCAGATGGACCCAGACGTTTCCACCTTTTGGTCTTGTTGTGACTTTCTAGATTTTTTTATTTGAACAGGCATTTAGGGTCTCCAGATGTTGAAGCATAGTAATTTGGCTTTTCTTCTTCCTAACATCAAGAAGACATAAAGGGAAAAGAGAAGAAGGAAGCTGAAACGCAAGAAAGTTGCTTTGCAGCAGAACAGAAAGGAATCCCTTTGTTGAGACTATGACGGACAATGAAAATAACGACCATCTCTGAAATAACACCTGTTGTAACCTAAATTAAATGAAACCAACATTAGGGTGTGAGATATCAGCGCCCGTTGGCAATTAAGAGGTCATCGGGCCTGGTCCCACCAAGTAGCTCCAGTAAGCTCCAACGCCTTACCTGAATACTTTCTCAGGCATCAGTTACCAACAACATTCAGAATATGTTGTGGCCTGTTAGTAGTGGTCTACTTGCATGGGTTAGTGTTAATTAATTCCCCTAGTCATAACAAAGAATCATTACTCCAGTACAAGCTGTGCTGTGAACATGTTAGCACTGCTGACGTCGGCATTTAGGTCAAAGCACCACTGTGCCTAAAAACAGCTTCGTAGCTGCTAGTGTGGCTGTTTAATGTCAATTTCCTAAAAAAATTACCTGACTAATCATGCTTTGGTTGACCTGGTCATAACCCATACCACATTCAACCCGTCAAGAGGGTAGTACTCATAGCTTTGTTTTAAGGAGTCTGCACAGCATTATAGGATGCTACTTCACAGAATCTTACAGCTTTGGTGCCGTTTGACTATATCTGCCAAGTGACCACTGAAAGTAAGAATATGTTATAATTAAATGCATGGATATACTTATATACAGACATAAATACACATAATGATTTCTGATTCCTCCATTAACAAAAGGCTCTCATGAAACAGCATTTCTATGAATACATTATCTTTTATAGGGTCAGTTATTGTGACTTAGGAAACCATTCTTCTGCAAATTACCAGCAGGCAACTCTACAAGTCTCTATAAAGATTCTTTTAAATTAATGTTTTTGTTTGACTGCATCTTTCCTCCTGAGGAGGAGGTGATGATGAATTTCTCACCATGGATGTGCTGCGGAAGAAAATGTTGTTGCAGATGGAGGAGAAGAGTTTCATGCTCTCCTGAAGACGATTCTGCGGTGAGGAGACAATAACACCATCAGATAGCTACAGATGAGCACAGAAAGACCGACACCGGCAACTTTGTCTAGATTATGAATCAAACATAATCTGATTGGGTGAGACTTCAAAAGTGGCCTCTAGTTGCTCTGACTGGAGAACATGGACCGTTTGTGAGGGATAGACTGATTGCAGCCTGTACCATGGAGGGGTCTTCCACCAGGGTCATGTCGTAACCGCTGAGCGACACCACGAACAGCACCGCCCTGACATCCTCAAAACAACCAATCCACTTCCTCCGTTCAGTTCTCTGGCCTCCAACATCGTACATCCTACACACAGAGACAGAGAGAACAGCAAAGTTGTTACACTCAATAAATTCACCGTACACTTCATCGATCTGATTGTCACACCCGTGGTCCACCCACACAGGTGTCTTAACCGATTCCACTGATTAGAGCTCCTCCTCTGCGTTTGACTGACATCTCCAACATCATCATCCCGGCTGTGTCCCAAATCACTCATTCACTAATCCTTGTATAATAGACACTCTACAGTTCAAGAATGACCATGAATCACTGTCACTTTGAGTCATCACGTGGAGTCGCACAACAGTAAATTTGACATTAATTAAATGTGATGTTTGTAGAAAGTAGTGTAATGGACACTACTTTTATTTTCTCTTATTTGGCATTACATAGTGCATACATTTCACCTAAATACAGTGTACTACATCGTAAATAGGGAGGGATTTTGGACACAGCCTTGTATTCGTTTTCTTACACCTTTATTTAGCTTATTAGTAGCCTACATGGAGATTGATGGCTTCATGCACTTCCCAGCATTGCACTGCCCAACATCAACCTGCGGAGAGGTCTAATGAGCAAAATAACTGAAAACACCTTTGTGCAGGGCCTTTAAATATTTGCCTCTTACAGATTAACCCAGTCCTGAAAACAGCAAAAGTGATGCCACCTTTAGTCTTCCCCCGTCCAAGTGGATCAGTGACAATGACCCAACACAGTGACCAGATATTGCTTTTCTGGACATATGATTGAATCAGCAGCTAAGTGTCGTTTGTAAATAACCAACTTGTTAATAGCCAGCTGTTTGAGCTAGGCTAGGCTGATATTTAGTTGGAGACAACAGCCAGATGCTGCTACCGTATGACTGTAACATTACTCCAGCAGGCCACTCAAGATAGCCATTCATCAGTAGTGGCACTGGCATCATTCTGCTGTTCACTATAATACCTACCTAATATTGGTGAATATTCAGGTATCTTTCATGTCTCAAATCAGATTTGGATTTGTATGTTTGTTTGTGTACTGCTACACAACCGTTTCAGCATTTTCCTAGCAATAGCAGAGAAAAGCAATTCTTATCCCCAAATAGGTGCGATGCAAGTCTGATGTATAGGGCTTATTGTGGTAAACCCTGCCGATAGGGCCATAACTTAAGTGGGAGAGGGACATGCAATGCCAAAAGATAAACTACTAAAAACAATTATTCAAGATGTAGACAATAACCCAAGGCAAGTAACAGTAACAGCTACAGCTGTACTCGTGTGGAGGAATAAGAGATTCGCACAGTGTGACTCTGGGTCCAGGTGCTCCTGGTTTATCGAGCCAACACACTCCAATCAGGGACCTTTAAAAGAGTAAACAACCAGAGTGCCTACACCCACACCCGAGCAGAAGCCCCTGTTTAGGAGTATTAAAGTAATATTGTCCATATTCCCTTAAATATTACAATTTGTGATTGGCCTTTGCTATTCAGATAATAAGACAGCAGAAATTCTTCAAAATCTGTCTGATTTTAAGGAGAACATAACAATAATATTAAATTATTATTACAGATACCAATATTACACATTTATATTTTAAACCAGATCGGTTATCCAAAAACTGTTTTAAAATTATAAACGATATCGTGTGTGTGTGTGTGTGTGTGTGTGTGTGTGTGTGTGTGTGTGTGTGTGTGTGTGTGTGTGTGTGTGTGTGTGTGTGTGTGTGGGGTCAGTGAGGGAGAGACAAGAGTCTACAATTCCCAGTAGAAAAGTGCAAGGCTGGGATGTCTGTGTGTTCATGACCTTGCATATTGATGGTGTAGCCTACTGTAGCACTGACTGGTAACTCTGATCAATGACAGATTGTATTAGTTTTAAATAAGGTCATATTCCAAAAATATGGGATTTACACTCACAAACATAACGTGGAGAGTGTCCCTGTAGACCGGGCTTTCTCTTTTTCAATTTTCACCAAGACAATCACATCATATTGCCAGAGACAATCACAACACGGCAGCACAAAGAGCGTAAAGGTCAATGTTCTCCAAAAGAACGAGAAAGAGAAACACAACAGGAATAAGAGCAGAGAAACACACAGAGAGAGAAACAGATCAGTTCGTCCCTCTTCAACCATTTGCCAAGCCAGATGTGCCATCTCCCACCTTCCATTTGAGCATCCATCGAGTTAATGCAGCTCTTTATTGAGAGGGGAAATGAACATGTGGAAACACAGATGCACAAAGAGGGAAACAAACAGTGAAGGCGGTATAATGTAAAGATGAGGTATGGGTTCCGATGGAAATTTTCCGTGAAAATTGAAGCCCGGTAGAGGACAGGTCAATGAAGCTTATGCTTCATTACACAAATTTACTTACAAACACATGGATACGTCACCCTAATAACACACTGACTAGTAAGTGTGCTGCCTGCTTTGCAAGTTCACACACACAGATACATTGTCTACAATCCCCTCATGCTGTTTGCTTTGATATCATATTCAGTCCAGCAAACTGCCTTCTAAGTGAATCAACCGTACAAGTTATTTCTTTCAGGTAGAGGAAGAGGCAGAGGTGTGTATTCGAGTCACATGACTTGGACTCAAACTCAACTGACAAATGTGAGGACTTCAGACTCCATAAAATTCAACAAAACTTAATGCCTTTGCACATCAAGTGTTTAAATCAATCATTTGATAAAAAGTCTTTGCACAGAGTCCAATGCGTTTTATTATTGTATTTGCTTTGCCAAAATTCATGGACGCGAAAAACAAAGAAAATTTAACCTGAAAAAACTTAAATGGCAGACAAAAGTTTCGGAATATTTATATTTAATCCAGCATCAATTTCAGATGAAAAATACGAACTTTGTGTGCAAAGGCATAAAGAGTCTACAGCCATACACTAGTGGCTCTGTGAGTGGCAGACTGACAGAGCAACTTTGCCATCCCTAGATCTCATGCAAAACAGTTACCGAATACTTTTTAAAAATGTAAATAGCAAAAGCTAAATGTTTTTGTTCTGACAGGGTGTACACTGCTTTTCGGGCTGAAGAGAGGACTGGTCTATAGTCTGTCTCAAACTTTGACTTTGTCTGTATAAAGGACCACTTTTCTTAGATAATCAGACTTTGTCTTCAGTTAACGTCATCCTTTCCTCCTCTCCTCCCTCCACACCCACCATTCTTGCCCCATAATGTTCACCGTTATCTGCAGTGTTGTAATTGTAATTATCAGAGCAGTTGATGTTAATGATGCAGGAAAAGACCCAGATCCTTATTACACTGAGGGGTCAGAGATCAAACAGGACGTCTGTATGCTAAATACTCTGCATCTGGGTGTAAAGTTGTGAGACTGTACGCACACACACACACATTTCTCATTTGCCTGTACACTAGTGAATGGGAATTGTGGCTCTTTGAAGGGAGCCAGATCTTATGAATGGGAATTGCAGTTTTAGTCTTTCCAACACAGAATGACAAGTGGTGATCAGTCATACCCACTCATTCGATGGGATTTTACAGCTTGTCTACTTTACCATCCCACACACAGATAGAGGAATAGAGTCGTTTTAGTGGTTCGATTACTTTCAACGTAACATCTTGCACACAACTTCCTTCCATCTAAGCCATCCTACAAGATTAGAAAGTTTGGGAAGTACAGATACAGTAAGTATACTGCATGCTTTCTTTCCAAAAGTTAGATGAGAAGATCGATAACACTTTGTCTAACTGTTAAGAATGGAGCAGGACACAGTCGATAATTAGCTTAGCACAAAGACTTGAAGCAGGGGAAACAGCTAGCCTTGCTCTGTCAATTTAAAATAAAACCTTAAAAGCTCATTAATAAACACACTGTATCTCATTTGTTTAATGTGTACACAAACAAAAATGTAAACTTTTACAATATTAAAAATTTGGTTTTAGAGGTAGTGTAACCATTTCTTGTCTTTATGCTAAGATAAGCCAATTTCCTCCCGTCTCCAACGCCATACTGTACAGATATGAGAGTGGCATGAGTCTTCTCATCTAACTGTCAGCAAGAAAGCCAAGTTTATCCCAAAATGTCAAACTATTCCATTTAAACACTTGTTCTGTATTAAAGAAGAACACCAAAAGTCAACACCTATGACATCTCAACTGATATTAAAGACAGTAAAATAATTTCTCAAGTTCTAACCCCGTGTTGTGTTATCTATTGTTTAATGCTAAATATGTGTCAAACAATATTCTTTAACAATAATATTTAACAATTCATCTAAAAAATTTTGCCAATCAAATGTGATTTGGGGATAACTAGCTAATTGATAGCTGGCTTGACCGTTAAGCTTGTGAGTCACAGTAGCTGGCAGTAGTGTGTGTTTGGATGTCATTTGGCAAACACTTTGTTTTAATTTCCAAAGAATGTAGTTGCTATCACATTTAATCATTTCTCCCTCATCCTCCACATCCTGATCTAAATGCAGGTGAGGGAGGTGCGGGAGAAGCAAACAGTCCTCTTTTTGTACAGCAGGATGGAGGCAGACAAACCCAAGACTGATGTCACACTATCGAACTGTGTGGGATCATTATGTACATTGATTATTCAGAGTATCTTTGATACACAGTAGGAACTTAAGTTCAATGTTTAATACTGTGAAAGTCTTGTTCATTGTTAATGTTTTATTATTTAACCCGTGTTGATAGAGTAGATTTTTTGTCTTGTAATGTTAGACATAGCAAATAAGACAAGGATATGTAATTGATCAAACACGATATACTGTTTGTTTACGCACAAGTCCAAGGTTATTGATATTCTTGAAGGATTCCACAGGACACTTTTTAGGCCACTAGTAAATAGTTGAGAGTTTATAAATCCGATAACGATATATCAGTTAGTAACAGAAACAAGCATTAATGGATGGCATCCTTTAATATTAATTATTAAAGAATTGTAAACTAGATTTGTAGCGAACAAGACATTTACTGTTGAAAAATAATCAGTGCTCGGTGTGGACAAAGTATGTACTGACAACACAATTTCTTAATGGCATTTCTCTGTTGTAATTTCTTGTTACTTATCGGCCAGTATATACACTGATATATCCGAAATAAGCTAAAATTAGCCCATCTATTACACATGTGACACTCTTTTATTGTTAGATAAAATTCTCCTTCCTCTTAGCTTCACAAAACCCCAGGAAAACCCATTAGGGTTTCTCAGAAATTTAGGGTGACTTTAGTTTATGAGTGCCTAATTTTCTATTAATTTCCAAGAAGTTTCCTGGAAAAGAACTGCGTAATTTGGTACAAATTATAGGACATGTACCGATGTCCTTGAAAGAAAAGCTTCATTTAAACCAATGTAAATATTTATTTATGATGAGAGTGAGGGGAATGGGAGGGTCTGCTCAAAGCCCAAGGCCTGCATTTTTTAACACACTTTAATTTGTGACTTGACATTTTCAGCAGAGCAACCACATCCTGCAGCAATACTGAAAGAGCCAGAATCATTTAAAACCAGTCAAGTTCAACACATTTCTTAAATAACACAAATAGGAGTGCAGGGCGCAGATGCTGGCTCAGATGAGAAACCTTGAGTGTCAAACAAAACGAAAGAGACAGTCATTGAACTGAGGGAGACACTTTCAAATTGTGTTAGCTGCAGGTGCAGCTTCAATATTTACAAAATGAGACCAAGCCGGCGCTGAAATCTCCATTGTCATATTTTCTCTGCTTTCCTAAACCTCTGCTGAACCAACACTGACATTATTTAAATGTTGAATACTGATATTTTAAGACAACAACTACAAATACAAAATCCAGTGCATCTACTTATAATTAAGGAAAATATTTGTTAATTTATTAGTTACTTAAACCACATGCTCTCTATGTCTGAATGGAAAACTCTCTAAATCCATTTAATATCCTTTTTGTCACCCAGTTTGAAATAATTACATTAATTTATGCTAAGCTTCTTCATCAACCCCAAGGGCTTGATCTCGCCACACACACACACAGCTGTGTGTCAATTAACTATACCCAATTATTTATCTCCTGAAGAATTCAGGCAGATAAGAAAGAGGGTGTGTGAGAGCGGGGAGGCTGGGCTATCTATCCTACATCACCACCTGGGACTCTGCTACCCCCGCTCACATCTGACACCGTCACCTTGTGGTGATGTCACCATCACAATGTTTTAAAGACAGAAAGAAAGAAAAAAACACACAAATTTAAAAAAAACAAAAACAACTAGCTTGTAGGTGACTCAACTGTGACGCAAACATAAGACTGCGAGGAAAACCAGCAATTACCTGCACGGGACAACAGATACGGTTATGATCAAAGTGCTTCTTTGCTGGTTAAACTTTTCCTGATGTAAAATACTTTGACTATCATATTGCATTAAATGTGTGCACAGTATTTACTGCAAAAACACACACACACCAATCAGCCAGACATCCAGTACGTACAGGAAGTATTTAGATGTGACACAAATGCCCCAGACTGAGTCCATCATCTGCTGACAAACTGATTCGCTCTACAATGTTTATATGCTAAACTGAGATCTTATGAAAAGCTGAGGTAATGTGTTTTATTGTTATAATTCCATATGAGGTGTAATCTGCGTGCATGAATGACAGGTTGTTATCGTGGTACGATGAGAGAAGAGGTGCTCCTCAGGTAGGCATTACTGAGAAAGAAGAAGAAAGTAATCTGATTTTGTTGAAATGATACACTGTAGACAGACACTAAGACACACACATTCACGATTAAATGTGTAGTGCTCAATGTATCCTTATGAACCCTACGTGACCCATTACCCTTCTAATAAAACGAAACTATGGAAAATCACCCAGTCCTTCATGCTGCCGTTATGAGCCGAAGTCTTTATTTCTACACTGAACAAAATTATGAACACAACACTTTTGTTTTTGCCCCCATTCATCATGAGCTGAACTCAAATTTGGAAGAATTTCGCTATTTACACAAAAGGCCTATTTATCTCAAATATTGTTAACAAATCTGTCAAAATCTGTATTAGTGAGCACTTCTCCTTTGCCGAGATAATCCATCCACCTCACAGGTGTGGCATATCAAGATGCCGATCAGACAGCATGGGTATTGCACAGGTGTGACTTAGGCTGGCCACAATAAAAGGCCACTCGAAAATGTGCAGTTTCACTGTACTGGGGGTGTCCGGAAACCAGTCAGTATCCGGTGGTGTGACCACCATTTGCCTCACGCAGTGCAACACATCTACTTCTCATAGAGTTGATCAGGTTGTTGATTGTGGCCTGTGGAATTCTTTGGTTATGCAAACCGATGGTTGCAGCAGCTGACAGGGTGGCTGTTCTCAGACGATTATGGAGGTGAAGATGCTGGATGTAGAGGTCCTGGGCTGGTTGGGTTACACGTGGTCTGCGGTTGTGAGGCGGGTGGATGTACTGCCAAATTCTCTGAAATGCCTTTGGAGACGGCTTATGGTGGAGCAAATGAATATTCAATTCACGGGCAACAGCTCTGGTGGATATTCCTGCAGTCAGCATGACAATTACACGCTCCCTTAAAACTTGTGGCATTGTGCTGTGTGATGGAACTGCACATTTTGGAGTGGCCTTTTATTGTGGCCAGCCTAAGACACACCTGTGCAACACTTGTGCTGTCTGATCAGCATCTTGATATGCCACACCTGTGAGGTAGATGGATTATCTCAGGAAAGGAGAACTGCTCACTAACACAGATTTTGACAGATTTGTTAACAATATTTGAGAGAAATAGGCCTTTTGTGTACATAGAGAAAGTCTCAGATGTTTGAGTTCAGCTCATGATGAATGGGGGCAAACACAAAAGTGTTGCGTTCATAATTTTGTTAAATGTAATTCAGCGTTCACTCGGAAATTACTGCTCCGGAGTAAGTCTTAATCATTTGTTGTACATGTGTCATGCTGCTGTTTTCTTAAAAAGATAAAGAAGAATCTAAAGACGATTACTATAACTTTTCAATTCAATTTAATTTTATTTATATAGCGCCAAATCACAACTAGCTGGTCCATTTGGCATGTGAAACCATTCGGCTAGACTCAGAACTCGGTTCATCTAGGGTTGGGCAACATGATGATATCTGACTTGACAGAAATGTGTCTACAGTTCATACTGAGGTACAGTGACAATAGTTAGTTGTTTTTGGATGTACAGGACTTTTCTACAGATGTCAGTGTTGGTCTGTCAGTTGATCTTCCACTGTGGCCCAAATTGAAATATCTTAACAACAACAAGAGGGATTGCCTTGTATCTTGTGAAGTCTGTGTAGACATACATGGTGCCCAGATGTTGACTTTTACTGACTTTTGCGATGCCTTGACTCTTCCTCCAGCTCCACCAACAAGTTTTCACATATCCAGTGAAATATCTCAACATCTATGAGATCGATTGTCACAAATCTTTGAACGGATATGAACGCTTCCTGGACGATTAATTCTAATGACACTGGTGATACCCTCACTTCTTTCTAGCACAACAGATATTGCCCGATTTAGATGTAATTATGTTCATTTCAAGCTGACATATTGTAGGCCTTACCTTTTAAACAATACAAAAACTTCCTCAGCTCTTATTGTTCATACATAATTTACTCCAACTGCTTTCAGTGCTCCCACTGCAGCCAACACTTTAACTGACTAACTTTAATTGTTTTTCAGTTTAACCACTGTAACTGACACTTTTAGCTCAATATAACACATATACTTTGGTTGACATTGAAAACACCTTTCAATGCTGAAATGAATCTTTAAGTCATTTTAGCACTTTGATTTGAAGTTATCCTTCATCTAAACTCAACTTTCAATTAAATTTTTCTGTTTTAATTTCTATTTAAACATATTTCAGAATTTGTATTTTAACACTTCAGCTACAATGGTTTCCGTTTCAGCAGCAAGCACATGTCAATTTTTCTTCAGAAAAGGTTGAGTTTTCCAGTATTATGCTGTATTTTCTGTAACTGATCCATTTGACAAATGCTGGTTATTTTGTTGTTATCAGTATAATTTAATAAAACTCAGATGGTTTTGGTATCAATATCCAAAACTGTACCAGTATAGTTAAAAATACACACAACTACACTTTTAAAACAACAAATTGAGCCTAGGACAACAGTGATTGCAGTTTAAAAAACCCCAGTTGTCTTTGATGTTGGTTTGCTGTTCATCAGTCCGGCTGCAGAGAAAACAACTTCATTAACATCTATTGTCCCGTCATGACTATCAGCAGCTTCAGGAAATGAGTTCAGCCATTGGAGGATGATAAAGAAGTTGGTATTATGTGACACAGCTCATTGATCACAGATGAATATGGTCATCTGACATCAGCCTCCAGGGCTCAGATACTTGCCCTCTGCTTCTCCAATGATAAGACCGAGCCACTGATGCTTTTGATTGCGTGTGTGTGTGAACAGTAGATGAGCGTAAAGCCAACTGACAGGTGCCATATTGACGTATTGAATGAAGCTGGATATCTCCATCTCTCATCTCGGGCCTATCACACGGCTGTAGGCAGAGATAAGAGTGTCGCAGCTGAAGAAGTGAAGTAAGATGGTACGACAGGTGCTCCTGGAGAAGTCGAATGCAGACCTGACGGCAGCAGCTATAAGCATCCCTATTCTGCAGTATTACATCTTCATGAAAAGCCAAGTGAAAGGTGTCTACCTGAAAATGAGGTGGTTGACTTTGAACTGGGTCTCTATAACGCCTGTCGTCCTTAGTCGTACTCGCAGAACATCAGTCTCTGTGGGCACGTAATCTGGAGACGTGATGCGGGTCATGTTCTCGAAGAAACTAAGAAACGAGAAAGAGGTGGAGGGGGGAAGAGAGAGAGTCATAAGGGTGCAGAAAGGTGAAAGACAAGGGGAAAATTTAATAACCTGCAGACAAACTTGAGATCAAAAGAGAATAATATCAGGTATCAGTTACGGGTGTGTAGACTCGCATAGTGTCTGTGTGTGTGTGTCAGCTGCCAGGTGGCGGGTGTGCAGTGATAAGGCTGGAGCCCCAGGGGGCGCAGCAGCTCATCACGATGAATATTCACACTGTGGTTTACCATAATAACATTCTGAGGCTAAGCTTTCACAGACAGATCAGCTATTAACACAGCTAGTGTAATCAACTGTATCATGTGTGCGCACAAGATGTGATCTTTTCCAAACACACACACACACACACACACACACACACACACACAGTGACGTCTACGCCTACCTGAATTGACTGTGACATTCTCAACTAGTCACTCTGAATCAGTTTCGTGGAAAGCGACACACATCCTGCTGCTTAAAAAACACACTGCCTGCCGGACGCTGTACAGTGCAGACAACATGTCAGGGTCTCTTTTGTACTTTGTACTGTCTTTGTGAGGACCATTCTGAGTTTTAGAGAGCTGTATTAGTTGATTTTTGGGCATTTAGAGGAAGCAGAACAAATTATAAACGGAACATCGACATTATCACCTTATAAAGCTACACTTCCAGCATTTACAAAGCAACAGTAGCATTCATCTTTGTGGCCACCTAACAAATATAAGTCAAATAATCACTCTCCACTAACTACTGAGGGAAATTTTGGGCTCTTTAGCTGCTAATTGCTCCGCTATGTTCACTAGCTAGTCGTCAGTTTTTAGAGCTTTTTCACTGAAGCTGTAAAACCAAAACAATAAGCAGAAAGAGACTAAAATAGTTTCAAGAGCTGAGGGAAACTGTAGAGTCAGGTGATATTTCTCTGTGAATTCATCAACACCTTTCACATTACACAGTCGTTGATCAAGTGTGTGATCAGAGGTTCAGACTTGATTGTGTGTTTAAACGAACTGGTAGTTTTATATTATATAACAATGTAAAAATGAATGAGTGACAATGTGAAATGAGTTCCTAAAAGTGATGAACTTACAGAGAATCGTCACCCAAATCTGCAGTTCCCCTCAGCATTATGGAGCTTTATAGTGAGTTTCAGCTCGGACCGCAACTTTACTCTTTTGGTTCACTCTCACAGCATCATTTTCGACCGCAGCAGGCAGCCGTTTTCAGTTTTAAAAAAGCTCTACAACCCCCTTTGCTGCGCAGCACCAAACCACAGACAGACATTATGTCAATAAGGGTCCTCACAAGTACAGAAGTATAAACGTGTGTGTGTGTATGCCTGAGGAGAGCAGAGGGTGATGGTGATGTACGGTGGTTCTCAGTGGGAACCAGGGGGCCTGTCGGTGTAGATATCCCCAGAGCTGAGGCCTCTCACTGGGGTTGAGGATGAGAACGGACGGCCTCCTGGAGGGTCCCAGCTCTGTCTGACTTGTGCATCACACACATTATCCTATCTACACTTGTTTCTTATTTTCAGTTTTCATCCTCACACATTACTGTGTCTGCACAGGTTTGACTTTATTAAAATATCCACATTTTAAACATTCTCTGTACGCACATTTATTTATACCTCTGAGTTTGAGCAATTGTTTTGTTGCACTGCTTGTCTCATATCAGGTTGGACTACAACCTGGTGGGCTGGATTTTGGACTTTCTCACTAACAGGACACAGAGTGTGAGAGTAAATGGACATCTTTCTGGAATATCAGTGACATCAACAGGCTCCCCTCAAGGCTGTTTTCTCTCTCCTCTTTTATACATTATGTACATTAACAACTGCCACAGTGAACTGACTAATAACTATATCGTAAAGTTTGCAGATGACACAGTCATAGTAAGTTTAATGGACTCCACTGAAACATCTCACGGCCCTGTACTACCCTATTTTTTAAACTGGTGCAAAGAAGCCTTTTTAGACTTAAATGTTACAAAGACAAAGGACATGTGCATTGATTTTAGACATCACCATCCAACTCCTGAAAAGACAATTATAGATAGTAAAGAGGTTGAAATTGTTGAGTCGTATAAGTATCTGGGAATTATCATCTGTCTGAGAAAGCTAGCTAAGTTTCAAGTGGACAGATCCCTGAGGACATTGTTTTATAAATCTTTTATTGAGTCCGTCTTTACTTTTTCATGTATTTGCTGGTATGCTTCTTTTAGTTTAAAACGGAAAAACACATTAGCAGCGGTAAATAAAGTTAGCAGCAAAATCATTGGGATTCAGCAGATAAAACTAACTGAACTGTATAATAGACATCTGCTTAAAAAGGCAGAATCCATTATGTCTGATAGTTCTCACACCCTGAATGCAGAATTTAAGATGCTGCCTTCTGGTTCCCGCTTCAGTCAACCAGAGGCCAAAACAAATCGATATAAATTCTCCTTCGTACCCTCTGCTATCTCTCTGCTCAACTCTAAAGAATAGGTAACATCTGCACATAAGGCTCACTTGAACTTAAACTTTTAATGTTGTGGTATTCATTTACCCATTGGTCTGACCCTGTATTTTTAATCAGTGTTGTCGTCTTTGTTGTTACGTACTGTGTGTCAACTTCTTTGCTACTGCATTAAAACTAATTCCCCCTCGGGGACAAATAAAGGTCTTGAACTTGAACTTATATGCACACACAGCTAATACCAAACACATGTATGTATTTTAAGGGTAATTAATGGATGTAATAGCCGTGGAGGTACAATTTACTTGGGTTTGTCTCCCTCCCTCCCTCTTTCATTCTCCCTTCCCAGACTCTGATTCCCGGTGACAGCGAGCACACGGCCGAGCATCAGCTGCTAATTGGACCCCTGCATCTCCTCAGCACAACATGAGTGTTCACTGGAAGAGTACTCACTACAGTGCAGAGTCATTGAGCTCGTACTCGTATCCTCGGGCCGCCGCAGCCCTCACCCCCTGGTCGGCCAACAGACAGGACATGGCATGGCTAATGAAAGGAAACAGCACCTGCTCTTCGTCAAAACACCTCCCACATGACAGGACAGAATGGGCGTGGACCTGCAAGAACAGACGGAGACAGAAATGCGGATGGATGAGCGGCTGGGAGGAGCAGAGGCCAGATGGACAAAAGGATGTGAGTCTAAACAACAGAAAAGTTTATGAGTCTGTCTCTGATCTCTAGACTTGTTTATCAGTAGAGATGCACAAACGAATGGCTGTGCACACAAACACACCCTGGTGACATTTAATCGAGGAAGTACTTTGGTCATCATTTCCCAGCAGGAAGTGCTGAGTGGGCGGTATGAGCTCTGATAATTTTGACAATAAAGTTCAAATCAAATTGAATCTCACAATAAAACCACCCACCTACTGTCTAACTTTCTGTTCTCTCTCATGCAAACAAACTGTGGCTGCGTGTGTGTGTGTGTGTGTGTGTGTGTGGGGGGGGGGGGGGGGGGGGCCGCCAGATGCAGCAAGCTGCGGCTACAGTGCTGAGATGCTGCTCTCTAGTGGAGATCTGGGTGCAGTGCAGAAAAAACATCAGCATAAAATTCAGGATCCATTTCAAAGAGAAAGATGGAAAAGGAGGATAGATCTGGAGAAAAAGAGAAATTAAAAACACAAAAAAGAAAGAGGTACAAAATGTCAGACACGCAGACAGACAGGTAGACAAAGAGACATGCAGACAGACTACCTTGTTCCTGTTGTTAGCCAGGTTGATCCGGAGGATACCCATGCCGTGGAGGACAAACTTCATGGAGGTCAGGAGGTTATCCAGCACTGCAGGCTGCCAAAGTTAAAAAGTTAAGTTCATGAATAGCCATGGCAATGGGGCAAAACAAAAATTCAGTTTTGCAGCATAACAACAACAAAAAAATGTAAGTAAACTGTAGAGTTAGAGCAAAAGAAATTGATTTGCATAGTTTTGTCTATTGTTGCCTTTTCTAAGGGCTTACTTCATCTTCTCTTATGATTAAATTTTCCCCCAGAGTACAGTGTGGGTTCACTGGTTTCTGATTGTTTTTACTGCCTTACACAAACATGTGACAGCACCAAAAATACTGAGTTAGATGAGATGACTAGTACCACTTCACTGAAGCTCACTAAGTAACACGTTTCTTTAAGTATAAAAATTACATAGCATTTTTGGGATACTGTCTGCACTTTTTGCCTTTAGAGATGCATTAATTGAGGTTCTGGCACTTGGGGCAACAGAAGACGTTCTAAAGCATTGACATCACCTTGTACAGTTTGGGTGGCAAACGGAGAAGGAGAAGCATTATAATTCATTTAGATTAGGGCTGAACAATTGATTGAAATATTATTTAAATAGCATATGTCCAAATCTCAGGATCTGCAAGTTTTTGATAAAAGCTAAAATGTGCACAACAATATTCATTATAAATGAAGTATTGTGGTGCTACAGAGACGACCTACAAATCATATTCTCCAGACATAAGGGAAAATACTTGTTTGGAACTGACAGCAACAAAAATCACATTCCACAGAATTTGGAGTCATGTTTCTGATCACTCACCTTTTAGCTCTGTTTTATTCTACACCATCTTTTAAAATGGAAATATCTGGCCTTATAGCTGCTACACTATGTTCACCAACTAGGCACTTTGTCGAAGGTAGTGAAATGTTAGTTTATCAAAACCTGTCCAGAGTATGGTGGTGCGGCTGAAAATGATACTATGAGAGTGGAAAGACTCCAAAACCGTAAAACCAAAATTAAATGAAAGATGCAAAAACCCTCCTCAGAGCTGAGGGAAACTGCCTTGTCAGGTGATATTTTTCTGTGGGTTTGTCAGTAGAAATGACCTCTTTCACATTACATATTCATTTGATGCATTGTTAATATAAAAATATTGACTGGTGCAGCTTTAAGATGCCTGACGTGTATACGAACCGTTGTAACTTTTATGGTGGTTGTAATGTAGACATCAAAACAGGGTGATTTTTTTGTTTTATTATTAGTCAAATGAGGAACTGATGATTCCACGGTGAGCCATCAAATTATTTTAATACTCAAATTTAAGCTGGCTGGCCATGAGATCTGGGGAATTTGGAGGCCAAGTCACCTTGAACTCGTTGTACTCCTGAAACCATTCCTGAAACATTTTTGTTTTGTGGCAGGATGCATTATCCTACCATCAATGAGTACTGTTTCCGTGAAAAGGTGTACATGGTCGGCAACAATGCTTAGGTAGGTGGTACATGATGCAGCAGTAAGATCCACATGAATGGCAGGACCCAAGGTTTCCCAGCAGAACATTCCCCAAAGCATCACACTGCCTCCGCTGGCTCGCCTTCTTCCCATAGTGCATCCTAGTGCCGCGTTCCCCACGTGCACCCAGCCATCCACGTGATGTAACAGAAAACGTGATTCCTCAGACCAGGCCACCTTCTTCCATTACTCCGTTGTTCAGTTCTGATGCTCACATGCCCATAGTAGGTGCTTTAGCAGTGGACAGGGGTCAGCATGGGCACCCTAACTGGTCTGCGGCAACATAGCCCCATACACAACAAACTGCAATGTGCTGTGTGTTCTGACTTTCTGTCAGAACCAGCATCAACTTTTTCAGCAATTTGAACTACAGTGGCTAGTCTGCTGGATCGGACCACACAGACCAGCCGTTGCTCTGCGCATGCATCAATGAGCCTTGGCCGCCCCTGAACACTTTTGCTAGGTTCTGACTACTGCAGACCGGGAACACCCCACAAGAGCTTCAGTTTTGGAGATGCTCTGACCCAGTCATCTAGACTGATCACAATTTGCTCCCTGTCAAAGTCACTCAAATTCCTAAGCTTGCCCATTGTCCGAAGGCCACACGACGTTTGGAGGTCTGTAGCTACTGATTCAGCAGAAAGTTGGCAACTTCTGCGCACTGTGACTTTATGTGGCCTACCACTTCGTGGCTGAGTTTCTGTTGTTTCCAATCGCTACCACTAACAGTTGACCATGGAATATTTAGTAGTGAGGACATTTCTCGAATAGACTTATTGCACAGGTAGCAAACCTGTCACGGTACCACGCTTGAATTCACTGAGCTCCTGAGAGCGACCTCACAAATGTTTATAGAAGCGGTCTGCATGCCTATGAGCTTGGTTTTATACAAATGTGGCCATGGAAGTGGTTGGAACACCTGAATTCAATGATCTGGTGTCCTAAAACATTTGGGAATAGTGTATTTGGGGCATAGCGTGTGTTTGCACCTATCGTGGACCAGTTATCAAGCCTATTGAGAGTGTAAGAGTGTGAAAGTATTGTGTAACTCATGTAAAATTAAACTCATAACTCTGTTTTAGTGCTTGGAAACCTTAAGACTTTACTGACTGAGCAGAGTGACTCCTGTAGAGAGTTGGGAGGTGTGTGTTATACTCTCGTCACTCTCCTGCCAGCTAAAGATAAGCTTCACATTCCTTCACAGTACTATCACAGTCTGGCCGCTCTTCTCTCTCTGTGTGTGTGTGTGTGTGTGTGTGTGTGTGTGTGTGTGTGTGTGTGTGTGTGTGTGTGTGTGGATTGAGATGTGTTGCTCTCCCAGTGAAAGGTGTGATAACTTAGTGACATGACAGGGTTTCATTTTTATGACAAAATTTGTCTGTTTCAAGAGAACCTTTGCTGAAAGCGCTGCATTGATTTATGTCAGAAATAAGCCGCTTTGTGCATTTGCCTCCCTCTGCCTCACCATCACTGTCATCTGCTCAGATATGTGATTCAATACATTTGTTACATAATAATAAACATTCTTGTAGTCTGGAGAACAATGCATATTTTATCTTTATAGTGCAGTTTCTATGTTTTATGACCGTGATCTCCATCTTAGTTTAGCATAGCATAACATTTGCTTATTAGCAATAAACAAACTACAGCTGAGGCTAACAGGAATGTTATTAAGTTTGCAAATATTTCTCAGAAACACATTACAGCTGGTTTGTTTAATCCAGAGGAAGAAAAAAAACAAAAACTTAAAGTCTCTGCTTGTTGCCTCACAATTTCATAGTGACGAATGACTAAACTCCTGACCCTGTCTGTGCACCAGCTCTCTGTACACTAAATATGCAGCTACCACTAACTTTGCTTAGCACAAAGAGTGGAAATGGACAGAAACAGCTGGCTTGGCTCTGTCCAAAATCCACCTATCTGCACCTCTAGGTTTTGTTTTTTTACACTTTGGTTCTATATGGTTTAAAAAGAGAACTAGATATAATGTGTTCTTGAGCAAAACGCTGTCCCACTCATCATAACTTAACACCCACACAAGTGTTTTCAGTTACCCCTGCTGTACTCTGTTCAGGTTTAACTATGCTTGTTAATGTATGTCAGAAAACTCTATGGACCAATAAGAATGATAACAAGTTGTTCCACCCTAATAAGTGCAATAAAACTAACATTAGGCTAAAGGATGATGTCAATCATGCCCAGTTTCAAGCAGAAGAAGGGAAAGCACCATTTTTATTCCATAGTTTAATTAAAAAAGTGAAACTTATAAAGTGTGAAATATTTCAAGCCTTTTTTGGTTTAGTCTTGATGATTACAGCTCATGGAAATCAAAAATCCATATATCAAAATATTATAGACCATAGAATAAAGAATGTCTAACACAGAAATGTCGGCCTTCTGAAAAGCCAAAAATTTCTGCTAAATTTCTGCACTCAGTGCTTGGTGGAGGCTCCTTTAGCACAAATTACTGCATCATTGTGGTGTGACATGGAGGTATTCAGCCTGTGGCCCTGCTGAGGTGTTATGGAAGCCCAGGTTGCTTTGATAGCAGCCTTCTGCTCGCCTGTACTGTTGGTCCGGTGCCTCTCACTGTCCTCTTGACAATACACCATAGTGTCTCTATGGGGTTCAAGTCAGGCCAGTTGTCTGACCAGTCATGTACAGTAATACCATGGTCAGCAAACCAGTTACTAGTGGTTTTGGCACCATGGGAAGGTACCAAGTCCTGCTGGAAAAGGAAATCAACATCTCCATAAAGATTGTCAGCAGTACTCTTAAATCTCCTGGTATACAGCTGCATTGACTCTTTACTTGATGAAACACAGTGGACCAACACCATAAAAATCATCACTGACTTCAAGCAACTTGGATTCTGTGCATCTCAACTCGTCCTCCAGACTGTGGGACCTTGATTTCCAAATGAAATGCAAAATTTTCCTTTTATCTGAAAGGAGGACTTTGGATTTTGGACCGAGAGATTAAAGGTTTGGGAAACTTTTTGAGTTAATTAGTTGATTAGAACTCTTCTCAGGTCGACATTTCTGTATTATACAGTATTCATTCTAATATGTTGATATGGATTTTTGATTTCAATGAGCTTTAAGCTATAATCGTCAAGATTAAAACAAAAAAAAAAGGCCTGAAATATTTCACTTTATGTGTATTGAATCCAGAATATATCAAAGTTTCTTATGCTGAATTTACAGCATATTCCAACCCAAAAAAGGTTCTTAAAGTTGCCCTGTGTTTTTGACCACTAGTAGTGCTGAGGAGCAATGTTTTTATGAGTGGGTCACTGTCTTGTTTGTACTGCACATGAGAATGCACAAACATGCGGGCCGCATGATTCATATTGTGCCAAGGAAGGAAATACACACAACATGTTTGTAAGAGCTCAAGGATATACAATCCGTTTTAGTAAGAAACACTGAATGTACACAGAACCTCTCTGTTTACAAGAAACCTCCACAGGGCACCTTTAAAGTCAATATAATGCAATGCAAGTATTAACAACATTAGAACTTACAGCTCCTAAAATGTAAACTATAATCAACACTTTTTTTTGACAAACAATTGAAGTTTAATAAGCACCATAAAAAGCAGCTTTTATTCTATTGTACAGCTTGTTGTTGCTAATCTGTCCTCCTGAACTTAAAAATTAAATTACTGCCACTCTCATGTCTCTGATCCAGTTGTTGTACCCTCATCTCTGCCTTGAGTTCATTCTTCTTCTTTCCTTCCCCCACTCCACCTTTGTCCTCTTTATCAATTGTTTCCAAGTTCCTCCCTCTCTGACTCAAGGCTTGCTTTTAGTTTTGTGTTGACAGTAAAAGGTGTGAGGCACAGAGGGAGGCCATGGCTAACACTGTGTTTATGTAGAAAACACATGTAGCTGTTTCTCTAATTACACAGTATTTAACATTAGGTAACATTTTTGGAGAAACCGAAAAACTAAACACATTTCTCTGAATGGCTACATTACCCCTAATATACAAAAACTGTGTCATTCTTTCACCCCCACACAGAGCTGGGAGCAGCAGGTGTGTCACCTCTGTGGAAAAGTATAGAGTAAAAAGATACCGTGTTTTCACCATTGTGTCAGTTTAAAAGGAAGTCTAACAGACAGCGATATCTCATTCCTCTCCAACCTATGTTTCTTGCTGGCTATTAATACTCCTACCACCATCAAAGTTTAAAGCATTGTGGGAACTTTGCGGTACACCGTGTGTCAGCTGAGATATTACAACTCCCATTACAACAGTGTAATCTGTAAATCCATCCAGATACACTGAACTATTGTTCTTGTCCAGCTTGCTGTTTGGATCGGCTCTCTGAAAACAGAAAACTAACAGCTTGTCAGTTGTCTTGTGTCAGAGCATTTGCTACAAAAACACAACAACAAAGAATGTGGCAGAGCTGGCTGTGGCCTGATATTTAATAATTAATCACAGACTGCTAACAATGTATGTGTTTGTAGGTTTTAAGCACTCACCAAAACCTCACCGCTGTTCAGGTGATAAAGCTCCCAAAATTATCACATTTATAAAGAAACCTTTAGACACATACTCATACAAACACACCTGAACCAACAAAGAGACAGCAGGCAAAAAAATACAAAAATCTGTTCAGAAATGTTATCCATTGCCACACCAACATATGCACACACAAAGAATCACTTCTGTCGACACAGAGTTGTGTGTATTGGAAGAGAATGAAGGGGAAAATCTGAGTCCATCAGCCCCTCCACAGTAAAAACAACACCACGGCCTCGGGCTGCAAATAAAGGAGGGATGAGACAAAGAGGAGCCCCCTTCCTAGCTTTCCTCCCCTAATTCATCTCAAACAGACCGACCTGTCATGGTCCTAATGCAATACTAACCTGGCTGGCAGGGCTACAAAAAGCCAGACAGAGAAATGAAGAGATGGGGTTTTCTCGCTGTGCCTTCAGGGGAAATGAGAGAAGGTATAGCGTGCAGCAGGGATAACCTGTCCCGTTCAAGGCAGGGTCGTGATGGTTACTACTGCACTGGTGGTCACTAAGATCAAGACAGCAGGTAGGGCTTCAGAGGTAGAAACAAACACATGTGTGGAACAGCACGCCAGCATGGCCTGATAAAGAACGAGGAGCTCATAGATGTGTGAGTGTGTGTACAGGAGAGGGTGTGTTTGCTGTGGGAGGTTGGGATAGTCAGGGAAGGGCAAGTTTGTGGGTTAGTGTCACTTTTCCATTTAAATAAGGGCGTCACCTGAGAACAAAAGCAAACCCAACTGACAGCAGGGACAACAAAAGAAGATTTGATTACTGGCATTTAACATGTGTTGATGCATGTCTGCATGCTTGCACACAGTTCTCTTTGTGTACTGATCACATAGCTGTATAAACACAACGTAAGGAAGTTCCGAAATCTATCATGCATAGGTAAAACAGAAACGACCTGCTTATTCTTCTTTTTTACTTAATTATCTTACTTTTCTGTGTAATTAAATTAAAGTGGTGCAGGAAATTATTTGTGTCACTCCTCAGTGCTTTCGAAACAGCTTTCTGAACAAAGAAAATGGCTAATAACTTCAACTTGGCATCTTTTAAAAGTTAAATTAACAATATATACACCATACAAATAAAACTATAGGACTGGATTGCCATGGCATTTTGTGACTGACACAAACATATTGATACAAACATTCATGTCCCTCTCAGAATGAATTGTAATCACCCCTGTCTTAATCTAGCATCATCATCAAGTACAAATTTTAAATTGTCCAATACTTGGATTATGACCAAATACCTGCAAAACTAATTTAGCCTCAGCTGGGCTTTGTGTTTAGAGCCAATTAGCAAATGTTAGCATGCTAACGTGCTAAACTAAGACGGTAAAAACTAGTTAATATGATACCAGCTTCTTAGCATTGTTATTGTGAGCATGCAGCATATATCACACCATATCAGCATTTAGCTCAGTCTGTCCAGCCTCAAAGAGCCGCTAGCACAGTTGTAGACTCTTACTCTTGTTTGAGACTGAATACAAAACAGTCTAAAAACTGCCAAGTTTGCATTTAAATTAGACCGGACACTTGACGCCGACTTCTGGTCTTTGGTCAAATGTCTTATTACACATTTGATTCGCTACCAAAAAAGTGTCAAGATTTGATATCCAGCCCTGCTCAACCTGACAGAAGCATAAACCTAGCTGCTCAGGGCATATCCTTCTTTCTCCAGCACAGTCCAATAAATAATGAACAATGACATGAGTGAACTGCAGACAAGGTGATTGTTATGAGACACCGAGGCAGCAGAAGGAGAGGGGAGTGCAGAGAGGGAGATGGGGTGTCTTTAATATCTAGGAATGCATTCAAACATCCCAGCTGCCTGTACAAACAACTGGGACCTACATATGCCATATCGCTGTGTGAGTGCATAATCCTGGCCAATGAGCAACTGCCAGTTTTGACAAAGTCTAACAGTTTTCTGCATACTTCGAGGACGTAGGGTTTATCTGCTGCACATAAGATGATCACACACACAAAACACAGACCATCTGTCCAAATATTGTTCTTTTCACAAATATCGTTAGTCATTTTTGGTTCAGTATCAACGCTAGTAGCCTCACTTTGGAGCCTGTTTTCAATTCTGCTTCACAAACTAAAGAGAGTGTGACCTGTGTTTAGGTAAGTTTCATCTATGAGGGGTTGTTATTATAGAGCAGGTAGCTGAAGTATGAGGAAGACACAGAAAGGGCTTTTCGATCATCACATACTCATCATGTCTGTGCATAACAGGAAAGGCAGGGGGAGAAAAAGAGGAAAAGATACAGAATAGCAAAGAGGAGAGTAAAAGTGTGGTGAGAAGTTAAAGGAGGGGAATGTAGGAGAAGATAAGCCTTCAGTAAAAACAAGCTGATGGGCTGAAACTGGTGTGTGTGTGGTGAACCGCTTCCATTCTCCCCACCCCATCCTAACCCCCAGTACAACAGAGGAATTTGGCTTTCAGTCACACACACGTGCGCGCGCACACGCAGATGCAAGCCAAACCACACACACGCGCGCGAGCCAAACCACTGCATACCAACTTGGATCTGACCCTGGGTATCATGAGAAATCTCAGTCCCCCACAGGAACTAATCATCGCCTCATTTTTCATCCCATCTCCTGTCCATCTCCATCACTGCCTCCCAGACCCTTAAAGTCTTCGAACTTTCATTTAAGTCGTGCCTGCGGCATAAACTGTCCTCTTACCTTCCTCTGTTCTTATTCAAAAACTATGATGATAACAACCTCAACCTAAAGAAATTACACACTGATCAATTTACATAATTTATTACATTGTGTAGCTACTTCCCAAAGGTGACTGTTATCCAACTCTCTTTGAAAGAGAAAGTGAAAACACCAAGCCCACTGTATGCTCTGATATCTGATAAAAAAACATCAGGCAGGTTGAACTGGGCTGTAGTCTGATCACGTGTGTGTGTGTGTGTGTGTGTGTGTGTGTGTGTGTGTGTGTGTGTGTGTGTGTTTTTCCAACCTTGAAGCTGGTGAGCTCTTGTTTGGTGAATCCATTGCTGTGGATGATCTTCATCTGTTTGACCAAAGTGCTTTTTCCACTCTCTGCTGCACCTGGAGGAAGTTAAAAATGATGGTTAAACTGGGTCTTTTAAAAAATGTCAGAGATAAATCATAAAAAAACTTTCATCTACTCATCTGTGGTCAGGTTTTTATCATTTATCAGCTTTACAAGGCAACCTTAGGACTTTTGTCATGTCATCCACTGGGAAATATCCAGTGTGGGACACGGGCGCAGTTCATATATTGTCACTCAAGGTGACCTGGCTCTTGCAGTTCGGGCCCCTCAGCTGTGGAACTCCCTGCCTGGAGATCTCAGGCAAGCAAACTCGGTAGCCTCTTTTAAATCTCTTCCTATGTCTCACTTTTATCGTATGGCGTTTTTATTACCGTTGTATTTATTGTGTATTATTTATTGTTGATTTTTAATTAATTTATATTCTTAGCTATGGATCTTGTTTGTTTGCACTGTACAACACTTTGTAACTTGATTTTGAAAAGTGCTATACGATTAAAGTGTTACTGTATGCACTGTATTACTGTAGCCTATGCACACTAAGGTGCAATACAGTCCCGGGGACAGGTTGGCTAAACAGATCAGGATGTTTAGTAGTCAGTCTCACCTAGTAAGAGTATTTTAACCACATTCATCTCCCGTTTGGCGTATTCGTACAGGTCTCTGTCTATCTTGGCGCTGTGTATCCTCGCCTTCTTCTCCTCTGTGACTTCGGTACCGAGGCACAGTCCCATCATGTGCACTCATCTCCTCACCAACCCAGGCCTAAGAGGAAAGCAAAAAGCACGGAGTCCAGACTGGAGATCAACCCGAGCTGGTTTCTGCAGGCTGCATGCTCCGAGCCCCACTGCTACTCCGCAAACTGTAGGGTTTCTGTGTACAAAAACTTCACGATCTAGGGGGGAGGGAGTTCATGCCATCTCCGAAACATCCTTCCAAAACTTGCAGGAGTTGTGGGTCAAACCGTCCGGACTAATCTGGTTTTACGCATTGCTCCAAGTGTTGCGTTTTTGTCCCTTGTCAGCGGCAGATTTAAATGGGTGGTAACTTTTCAGCGACTGTCCTCCGCCGTGAAAACACTGATCTACTATGTCACCGTGCGCCGCAGCGGTTCAAATCTGCCCTGCCGCCTTGGCCGCAGATAATCCTAAAAGGCGCCTCCTCCAACTGCAGCCTGTTGCCCAGATGGAAAAGTTGTGGACTTCCCTGGGAAGTGACGTGCAGGGGACAAAACTGCTGAGTGCGCAATTCCGTGTGATTTACCTGTGCGTGATCAGAAAACTAAATACTGTAGCCATACTATAAATTAAAGCTATTTACTCGCTTACTGCACTTTAGCTGTAGTTATCAGTTACTTTGATTACACGTACAAAACATTATGCTCTACTTTATAATCTAACGAGTGGCATTATTATAGATTAAAGCTCCTGCGTTCCCACACAGGTGTTTCCAATTATTGTGGCTGATTAAAGCTGCTGCGGTTACAGCTGTGCAAAGGTCTGCTGGGATTTACAAACAAACTAATGAGTGATAACGTTTTGACTTGTCCTGCAACACAACTAACAGATAGAGGTGAAATTATTTCACAAATTAGAGAAACGTTTAACAAATAAAATAAAAAAGCATTTTTATAATAAATGTTTTTTTTCTTATCCTTCCAATCCTCTGGAGACCCTAAAGTAATCCTAATGTTTAATTTTCATTATTTCAGTCATGTCAGCTCAATGTCCCAAGAACACAGCTGTTGGCCATAGAAAAGAAAAAAACATTTCCAGCTACTGCAGTGGCTTCATTGGCAAATGGGTTTCCTCTGGGCCCCTGTGTAAAACAAATGTTTATTTTCACTATTTCATTCAGACAACAACCAGAGCAGAGTAAAAATACATGCTTAGACCAAATGTACAACCTTGATGTTTCAGTATCTGTGGTCTGTTATGTCCCTCAGTTCCTGCAGAAGCTCCTCCAGGGCGCATGGGTTGGCGGATTGAAGACTCTTTGTGTTTGTAATGACGGTTTGCAGATTTGAGCAGTGTGAGTGGGACAGGACTGCTCTGATTTAGCAGTTTCTGAGCGGCTGTGGCCTCATTTCACTGACTCAGTGAACCGTGAACCTGCTGTGCTGATCCAACAAAGATCTCTGTCATCATGCTGCTCACATTACACTGCTCTAAACAGACATCAGATGACACTTTTTGCCATATTAATTTATTAAAAGGGAATTTTACACATTGCAATGATTGGTTGTGAAAATCCCAAACATCTAATATTTAGAAACTTATTTATTTTTCAGCCACCCACTTCCATTCAACTTCCAACCAGACACATTTCAAAAACACGCATCGTCTCGCACCATTAACACCTCCAAATAATATGCACCATATAACAGCAGGAAAAGCAACAGACCGTAACCTTCAACAATCTAAAAACGTTTGCAGAAGCAGTTTGACAGTAATATTGGGTTCTTCGATTGTCTTGTAAAGGAGGAGAAAAGAGGACATTCATTTATTGGAAGTAGACTGAGGAAAGGACAACTTTACAGACAGCTGTAGTTTAAACTATAGAGATACAACTCACAGCCCTTCCATTAGTTATACCTTTAGGAATGAGGGAAACACTCACTCACTAAACTCACACACTCACATGTTGCAAATTCTGGTAGTTAAATTCAAAAGACTACTTCACAGATCATTTGTTTTTTTCAGGATGGATAAAAAAAAGTGACAAGAGATTAAAATAACTATGTTTTCTCAGTGTATTAAAACTAGACCATATTACTTACTGATGACACTAAAACTGATCATTAAAAACTAATATGATTTAAAATCTAAAAGCAGAACTGACAATGAAGTTAAGATTTTGTCAATAAGTTATGGATAATTACAAACCTAACATGCCACTCTACACCTATACAGGAGCATGTAGTGTGTGATTTCATGGGAAAAAGCAATCTCTGACAGAAGATAACATTAAAAAGTTCCGTGTGGAGGACAAGATGTTTAAAGGGACGTAAAGCAGGTTAAATAACACTTTGTAGTGGATTATTTGTCTTCTTGGTAAGGCAGCTCTATTCTAATCCCATTAGGCCGGAGAAGTGTGTATAGATGAGCTGGACAGAGAGCAGTTAGCCCAGCAGCAAGTGCGACACTGCCTCACTAAATATTCAAAGCAGGACTCTGCACCCAGTGGACTAGCAGAAGCCGACCTGCCCCCCATGGGTCATTTCACCCAGCCAGGCCCAGTTTAGGACAACCTGGACCGTCCGTATGGGTCAGTTCAGTCCACTCTCTTAAAGCTGAGTGTACCAGGATGAGTAAAACAGAAACGCGATGCGGCCTCACTAGAGAGCAGCCTGGGCTGCAGCTTCACTCTGCTCCTGCTCCTCTTTCTTCTTCATCGCCTCGATTACCGCCATCTCCTTGGCCTCCTTCTTTTGGTTCCTGGCTTCAAACTGCAGCCTGGGAACACACAAGATGACACGGATGAATTTGAGAAAAACAAGGGCATATAATTAGCTGGGACGGCAGGGACATGTCCAATACAAATATCCAGCAACTACTGAAATGTTCGCAGCAATTATCATAATCAGTGTATTTGGTACACAAACGATTAACAGTCAGCAGCAAATTAGCGAGAAAATAACAAAATGTGGCAATGTGTCAATTACTACTGTTAGAAATTAAGTTGTAGAATAAAAATAAAATAAAATATATATAAATATTTGTAGAATAAAGTCATAATAGAATAGGTTGCTTTGAATCATATGTGCACGTGTTAGTATTTCCTGGCAGTCTCCAGTTATTTAGACATGTGAACAGTTTGGACTACAGTGTGGCATCTCACTCTGAGCGGAAGATCTGTGTCACTGCTGTCTGTGTGTCCTTCATGCTTAGAGACACCTTTGCTGGCTAACTGCTCCAGGGGTGGTAAAGTTATCATTTGTGTTGATTCGTGGTGAGATTTATGCCTGATCAGAAGTGTTTTCGGTAACTTTCCACCTCCTTGTCTAATTCAGGATCGTCCCAAACAGGGGTTCTGTGTCTGTCAGACGGTCTGAACCATATCAGCAGAGCAACAGCACAGGTCAATGCACAGGAGAGTATAGGGAAGGTAGATAAAAAATATATACATATATGACTTTAATCTCATTAAATTATAACTTTATTCTCGACATGTCAGAACACAGATATGTGGGATATATTCTGCTATTAAAGTCCAGGGGTTTATAAATGATTTATTATATTATTATCACTGACCTGAAAAGGTGCCACATGCACATTTAAAGAGGTTACTTCCCCAAACAAAAGAAACAAAAAGAGGAGGGAAGACTAAATCATGCCTGCATGTGTGTTGACTCAGCAGGGATGATATTAAAAGAATAGTTGATCTACAGGAGAAATATTTCTGAGAGCCTTACTGCATTATATTGTTATAGTTTTATATTTTGAAGTGTCACCTGCCGCCTGAAACTTTTGTTTCCCTTTACATAAACAGACATTTCCACCATAGAAAGATGCAGGAAAAGTCCCCAGAATGCAGGACAAAGTTTTTAATGCACAAAAAGACCATAAGATCAAAATGTGTCCCCTCCAGTGTTGAAACGAAACGTACGCCCTTGGATAAAAACAGAAAAAATGTGAAGTCAACATGATCTACATATAGAGAAAGGAAATGCAGATGAACATGATAACTACCAGTTAGACTAAGAATGGGGAGACCCTGACCTGTTTTCAATGATCCTCTTGACGATGTCATCAGTGGTGAGATTGTTCCCACTGTCGATGGTCCTGAACAGCCCCCTCTTCTTAGGCTCCTGAGGGCAGAACACAAAGGGCTACATTAAACTAACGCAAGGCCAAAGTTCCCCCATCATCCGATGGGAATGATGAGGTCCACCGCTGAACCAATTGCAAATGTGTTATAAAGACAGAATGGTGCAACAACACACACACCATCGTGAAGATGTGAGATACTATGTGCTACACACAGACAATTAAACATTACAGTGCCCCCCTGAGGCCAGTCAGGATAATTTTGAAATACCAGAATGGAGCAATAACGCACATCATTCCCAAAGGTAGGGTCAGATGTCAACCGATAATGTAAACTCTTCTGATTGGTTCTTGGTCAACAACTTAAGGGTCAGAATCAGTGACCAGCAGAGCTCTAACTCAAACACAGGTCGTTTCAAAATGCTTATTGTAGCATGACTACTATGTTTTAATAAATTTATGAGAATTAATACCAAATTATGAATTTTAATATTCAGAAAATATCAATCCATAAATCTCTCGTTTCGCGGGGCACCACCGGAGTTTTAATTAACCCAGAGTCTCCGGACCTCTGGGTAGCGTTTTAATAATTATAAAATTATTCATTAGTGATCAGTTAGTTAATAATCGCTCAGTTATCTTAAATAAATCAGTCAGTCTCATATCGAAGGGGTAAATTCTCATCGCAGGGACCTGGAGACAGGCAATACATACACAATTCCTTTGATTACAGTGAATTTATTAACTAACTAAGGTGACTATAAATGCGGTTACATATAACAGTTACATCAAGAAGATAAACAATGGCTAAACAATGAGAATGTGGGGTTCTATTGTGGGGAGCATTTGACTCATACGGCGGAAGAGAACTAATGAAAGCAGTTAGATGATACTAACTCGATTAAATTTGTCTAGGAGTTTAAGGACTACAGATAATGGATTAACAAACTATTGGACATCACTGATCACAGAATGCCTTGTTTTGCCTTATGGTGGGTCGGCGACCTGCCTTGGTCTGTTGCACGGGTCCCACGCTAGCTGCCCGATTCCTGGCTTTCTGCTAGGGAATTCTCCGGGGTTCTCCGTGTCTGGAATGAAGAAAAACCCTCAAGGGTTGGCCGTACTCGGTCTGGCAATTAGGCTGTTCTTTCAGGTGTCCTGTGTTACTGCTGGCGGGCCACGTGGAGGGGACCGACCTCCATAGGGATTAGCTCGACGCATAAAGCTTAAAAAGAACTTGGTCGTTCTTGAATTAAACTAGTGTAACTTAACGGACTGATAACTTTTAACAAAACAAAAGAAAATAAAACGAAAGTAAAGTTGTTGGAAATGAGGGAAAGCTGACACACTTCGTGTGTGGCTTGAAAACGCTGTGCAGGGTTGAAGTTCTTAGGGCGTTGCCGGGAGAGGGGGCACGCTGGGCACGTGCCGAAGCGCAGTTGGAGAGCCAGGAACAAGCAGAGGACAAGAGAGCGAACAAGAGCGTGTGTCGCTGTTTTTGTCTGTTGGGGTGTGGTTCCCAGAGGGCCGGGTTTCTGAGAGACCGTCTTTTCTTTAATTTTTAATATGTCTAATCAAAAATCTATTTGGGCGTATTTTA